GTGGAGTTTGCATGTTCTCTCCGTGCATGCGTGGGTTTTCTCCGGGTGCTCCAGTTTCCTCCCACAGACCAAAAACATGCATGTTAGGCTGATTGGTAACTCTAAATTGTCCCTAGGTGTGAGTGAGAGAGTGAATGGTTGTTTGTCTCGTTTGTCTCTCTGTGGCCCTGTGATGGACTTGCGACCCGTCCAGGGTGTACCCCGCCCCTCGCACAGTGATTGCTGGACATGGGCACCAGCGACCCCCGTGACCCAAAATGGAACAAACGGGTAAAGATAATGGATGGATTTTTAGTCATTTGTTTGCTTTTTTGTCAGTTTCAAGTTATCTCAGTCATCTTGGTGTTTGAAGGTACCAACAACTCCATCACAAGCTGCACCATCATAAAGAAAACGTCTGAATAGTGCCAACCCACGACCTTCAGCTTCACAGTAAGTCACAAAGACGGTATTATTTAAAACAAGTCAGCACTTTCATTTCAGTCTCCAAATCGATCGTGGTCACTCCCGTGCATTTAGTTAAAAACAGCAACGGTTAAAGATCAATATTCAGAATCAAATACTGTCTTATCATTTTATGCAAGAGTTCAGATCTCATGTCAGTGTGTCCCAGACAAAACGCCTAAAATAAGTGAAAGTTAACAAAATAATAAAACCAGACCTCAAGTCTAGAAACAAAACAGATAAATCTGAAAACTAATAAATCACTTTGTCATGAAAACATGGTTTGGGTCAACACGACGAGACAGATGTGGCGTTTCATAGAAAACAGATGTTACCAAACATGATGAGCAACAAAATGTATTCAGTCTGTGGAACCACTTTATGGATGAAATTGAGTTCTGGGAACCATTAAGAACAATAAATATCTTACCAGTTTTAGATAGCTCTTCACACCAGTTTGGAGAAACAGTTTTATTCTGACTGGGCTGATGAGCTGGTCCTGAAGCAGCTGACACCAAAGTGGATCGTTGTTGTCTTGAAACGACTTCAGTCTGCAAACCTTCACAGTATTTTATAACCCTTAACGTCACAAAGCAAGATACGGTTGATCCGCTGAGGCAGAGTTCCTAACAAATGTTTGTTTATACGACTTTGAACAATTTCTTTAGATGATTGTTGAAATTCACTTTTCAGATTTTCAGCCCAGTGTTCAGGACGTTTAGCTAAAAGTGGAAACAGTCGATGCTTGTGACGTCACACTGCAACAACTCAACGTTATAATGCTGAAATGTGTCCAAAATTAATGTGAACTAATAAAAATAAAACAAGCAGAACTAAAACCAGCACAACAGCAGCTCAATTCAATTCAAAATACTTTATTAATCCCAGAGAGAAATTAAATGTTGTCGTAGCTCATCATCCTGGTTTCAGTAAAGTTGTTCTAGATGCTGATGGCTGTGGGCAGGAAGGATCTCCTGTAGCAGATCTGAAGAAGCCTCTGACTGAAGACACTCTGTTGTTGTATGACACTCTGTTGTTGTATGACACACTGTTGTTGTATGACACACTGTTGTTGTATGACACTCTGTTGGTGTATGACACTCTGTTGTTGTATGACACTCTGTTGGTGTATGACACTCTGTTGTTGTATGACACTGTTGTTGTATGACACTGTTGTTGTTGTATGACAGTCTGATGTTGTATGACAGTCTGATGTTGTATGACAGTCTGATGTTGTATGACACTCTGTTGTTGTATGACACTCTGTTGTTGTATGACACTCTGTTGTTGTATGACAGTCTGATGTTGTATGACAGTCTGATGTTGTATGACACTCTGTTGTTGTATGACACTCTGTTGTATGACACTCTGATGTATGACACTCTGATGTTGTATGACACTCTGTTGTTGTATGACACTCTGTTGTTGTATGACACTCTGTTGTTGTATGAGTCTGTTGTTGTATCACACTCTGTTGTTGTATGACACTGTTGTTGTATGACAGTCTGATGTTGTATGACAGTCTGATGTTGTATGACACTGTTGTTGTATGACACTCTGTTGTTGTATGACACTCTGTTGTTGTATGACACTCTGATGTTGTATGACACTCTGTTGTTGTATGACACTCTGTTGTTGTATGACACTCTGTTGTATGACACTCTGACGTTGTATGACACTCTGTTGTTGTATGACACTGTTGTTGTATGAGTCTGTTGTTGTATCACACTCTGTTGTTGTATG